CTGCCTGAGCTTGCAGGTTTTCACCCTAGCCTTTGAATCTCCATAAATAGAGCAATAGAGACTCAGCTAAAGCTACCTTTGTGGCAGCAACGGGGCCAGTGCCCATGGGAACAGATTTCGCCAGGCTGCAGCCTCAGTCAGTAAAAATAACTTTGGAGTTGCGATTGCTGGCTGAAATAGTAATAGATTAAGGCACAATAATGTATCTTCACAGTGAATGGCAGTGTGGCTATTGAAAACAGTGTCTTGGCCAGGCAGTGGTGGTGGCATGCACCTTTAATCCCAGTTGCTAGGGAGGCAGAGGCTGGTGGATCTCTGAGTTTGAGGGCAGGCTGGTCTACACATTGAGTTCCAGGGCTACACAGAGACACCCTGTCTCAAAAAACTAAAAGCTCAACAAACAAACAAATAAACAAACAACAACAACAGTGTCTTGGTGTGGTGATGCACTCCTGTAATCCCAGTACCCAGGATGCTGAGGCACCAAGAGGGTTTTGAGTTCAAAGCCAGCCTGGCCTAAATAGTGAGATCCTATCTGAAAATAAAACACAACAACAGCAAATACCAGGCGTGGTGGCACATGCCTATAATACCAGCACTGTGAAGAATGAGGCAGGAGGATCATGAGTTTGAATCCAGCCTCGGTATATTAGTTATTTTTCTGACCAGTGTCACAAAATACATGAGAGAAATCAATAACTTAGAATACAGTTATTCTGTCACATAGTTTCAGAGGCCTCAGTCCATCGTAGTAGAAAGAGCATGAAGACGGGGGCGGTTTATTCTGCTGTGGCAGGAGTTTGTGACCATAGCTGCTCACAGGGAACAAACCAGCACATAGAACAAGGAGGCCAGAAGCAGTCGTGAACATAACCTTCAAAGACCTCTCCTCAGCAGCCTTCTTCCTCCATTCTGATTCCATGTACTTAAGATTCCAAAGCCTTCAAAATTGCGCCACAAGCTGGGATCCGGGTATTTCAAATGCGAGCCTGTGTGGGATCCATGCGGGAGAGCCAGAGGTGGTAGAACTATGTTTGCCAGGCACAACATGCTGGTGCACATATGAGCTCACAGAGACTGTGACAGCATGCCCAAGCCCTGTGTAAGATCAAGCTGCATGCGGGTGGTGGTGGCGCACGCCTTTAATCCCAGTACTCAGGAGGCAGAGGCAGGTGAATCCCTGTGAATTCAAAACCAGCCCAGTCTACAAAAGCTAGTTCCAGGACAGCTAGGACTGTTACTCCAGGGAAACCCTGTCTCAAAAAACCAAAACAACAACAACAACAAAAACCCAAAACAAAACAACAACAACAACAAAAAGACCCACACCAAATCCAAGCACAGAGGTCAGGAAGTGGGGCTCCAAGTATCATCTTTAACCAAGAAGCTATTTGTAATTGGTAGCTTCTGGGAGAGAGAAAATCTGTTCTCGGTCGAGTAAAACTGAGGTATCAGCTTCACTCCAGGGCAGTCCCTGTGCCCAGGAGCAGTTAGTAACACTCCTGCATTAGTTTTTGGTGGGCAATTGTTTTGTTTTTAAGAGAAAGAAAGGATATGAGTTTGGGTGAGCAGGGAAGTAAGGGGGGGATCTGGGAGCATTTGGGAGAGGGAAAAAATACAATCAAAATATATTGTATGAAATTCTCAAAGAATAAATAAAAACATTATAAAAAGGGAGTGTGTTGGGGACATTCTAGACTGAAAGCATAATACTGGGCTACGTAGTCAGTTACAGGCTATCCTGGGCTCAGTCTAAGTCTCTCCACAGTTGATCAGGGTGGCCCAGCTGGGGGGAATGTAGTTGGAAGGTCGCTGGGAAGATGAGGTTTGCTCCACATCAGTTGTTATGAGCAAGGAGAGTGGGGTCAACTCTGTTAAAAGGAATGACAGCTGAGCTATGCAGAGTCCTCCTGAGCTTCTTGAGCAGGGGAAGTAGCTCAACTGGTAGAGTGCGTGTTGCCTAGGGTGCATGAAGCACCAGTCTGAGCGTTATGGCTCCTGCACTGGGGAGGTGGAGACAGAAGTTCAAGGTCATCTTCACCTAGGAGATTGAGGCTAGCTAGACTACTTGAGATCTCCTCCCCACAATCCCCATTCCCAAAAGAGAAAAAGGAGAAATCTTGAAAGGGAAAATGATTTGTTCAAGGGCCTGACAGGGAAGGTAAGTTAAAGGTTAGGGCTAAAAAGGGGGTGGGGGTGGAGAAGAGGGATAAACTGGTAGACACTGTCTGGTGTTTCACTAATTCCTCACACAGAGCCCAGGGCTCAGGAAACTGAGACTTAGTTGGTAAATACAGTTTACATCCATATGAGGATGTGAATAAGGGGCGCAGAAGGAAGCCCAGGCCTCCTCTTCGATCAGGGACCCAAGGACCCAGGTCCCCACTCCTTACTCTGCATATTCTCAGGATATGGTGGCTGTCTGAGACACAGCCAGAGTCCAGGGGGGAAGTTGGGGTGCCCAAAAGGAGTAGCCTTCGACTCATTCTTATCTCCACGGGGGCATATTTGCACCACTGGTTCAATGGCCCCATAAAACCTGCGGTTGGAGTTCATTTACCCTTCCTGGGAGGCTGAACGTTCAAGCGGATGAACCCCACAATAAGAGAAAAGATACGGGTGTGGGTGGATGGAAGGGGCGGGTCAGATGCACCACGGGAAGAGGGTAGAGCTGAGTCAGGCACCCCGGTGCCAACTCGGTCCTTTCCACCCCTCACCACTGCCATCCTGTCCTTGGTGGCTGAGCAACAGTTTGGGAGAAGTCAATGCTCCTCATTTGGGAGAAGTTGGTGGGTTGGGAGCTAAGTGGGGGCTAAAGAGGCCGTTGGTCTGTCCTGCTAGCTTCTCACCCATATCTTCCGGCACCACTGCTCTGAATTTCGGTTTGCAACTTCACACACTTGTTTGGGAAGAATCAATGAATGAAATAAACCAGAAGGCCCAATACCTATTAGCTATTACTGTCATTGTTATTTCTTCATTATTATTACTCTGGAGGAGAAATTCTCACATGGCTGTGGGAGAGAATGTAAACCATTCTAGCCTTTCTGAATGGCAGTGATAGCTATAAATACTTTATTAGTCCTTAAAAAATCATTACCTTGTACTTACTTATTGTGTGTGTGTGTGTGTGTGTGCGTGCGTGTGTGTGTGTGGACCCATGCCACAGCACATGTGTGCCAAAGGGCAACTTTGCTGGAGTTCGTTCTCTCTTCCTATCAGGTGGGTCTTGGGGATTGAACTCAGGCCATCAGGCTTGATGGCCCTGTTTTTTTTTATTTTTTTTTTATTTTTTTTATTTTTCTAGACAGGGTTTCTCCGTAGCTTTTGGTTCCTGTCCTGGAACTAGCTCTTGTAGACCAGGCTGGCCTCGAACTCACAGAAATCCACCTGTCTCTGCCTCCCGAGTGCTGGGATTAAAGGTGTGCGCCACCACCGCCCGGCTTGGTGGCCCTATTTTATTATTTCTTAAATTAATCAATTATTATTATTTTCTAAGGCAGTGTCTCACTCTGTCGCACCAGCTGTCCTGGAATTCTGGATAAACCTCCTGCCTCGGTCTCAGATCTTAATCCCAAGTACAAAGATTACAAGCACTCCCCACAATGCCCTTCTAGGTATATTTTAAATATAAGAACTTTTTTTGTGTGGTGTGGTGGCATATGCCTCTAAACCCAGACCAGGGAGTCAGAGGTAGGCAAATCTCTGAGCTCAAGTCCAGCCTAGACTACATAGTGACACCTTGTCACTTGTTTCTTCTGAGAATATTATGTTTAGTAATCTATCCCTTTATTTATTTATTTTATTTGTTGTACAAAAACAATAAGGGCCCTGTACAACATATGGAGTGTTCACATGTATCTCTCCCACCTTCCCCCCAGCTCTCTCCTCATCCCTTTTGTCTTCTTCCCTACTGTACCCTTTAATCCCAGTATTTCTCCCTTCTATGTTGCTCTATTTTCTCCCTTGGAAGCTTTTTTCCCCAGTCACAGGGCCTCTTTCATGCTTAGGAATCCATCCTTAGCAGATAGTCCTAACTCATTATCTGAAATATAAATACTCAGAGAGATATGAGTAATAATTACTTAATTATAATAGAAAAGGACTGGAAATAACCCAAAGATCCAGGGAGAAAGTAAATTAACATAGACTAGAATGTGATTGACGACTGATTGTGGTGCTGTGGATGGACCCCAAGACCATGCCCATGACAGGCAAGCTCTCTACCACTGAGCAATTTAAGATGATATAAACATCAAATGTATTGGTGTTTGCCTGAAGATCCACCTTTTGGGAGGGTAAGGCAGGAGGATCTGTTTAAGGTCATCTTAGACTACATAGGGAGTTTGAGGCCTAACTGTGCTACTTGAGACTCTGTCTCAAAAAGGGAGAAAGAGAGAAGAGAGGAGAGAGAGAGAGAGAAAGGAAAAACTGATTATCCAGTTTCTAGGACCGGAGACTGAAGAACGATGAAGTGTGTGGCAGATCTGACTTTCATCGGTTTAGAAAGTACTGAGGTCCATAAGATGGCTCATCAGAGAAAAGCACTTGCTGCCAGGCTTCGCTTGAACTCAATCTCTGTGCCCCACATGATGGAGACAGAGAACCCATTTCTAAAAATTGCCTTCTGACCTGCACACACACACACACACACACACACACACACACACACACACGCATGTAGGAGCACACGCACACTCAAAAGAAAGAGATCTATGTGAGTTCGAGGCCAGCCTGGTCTACAGAGCAAGTTCCAGGATAGCCAAGGCTGCAATGAGAAACCCCGTCTCAAAAAACCAAAAAAGGAAGGGGGGTGTGAAAAAGAGGGGTGGTGTGGGGGAGGAGAGAGAGAGAGGGACAAAAGAAAGAGAAATATTTTAGTCTCAAGTTTGGGAGTCAGCAACTGTGGCTAATTCTGCTTTGAACAGAAATGATGGGGGCTCATAGAGAGGAGATCCCAGAAAATGAATTTTTATTTGTTTGCTTTTGGTTTGTTTCAGAAACAGGACCTTGTTCTGCAGTCCATGCTGTCCTTGGTCTTATGGCAATCCTCCTGCCTCAGCCTCTCAAGGACTAGGGCTATAGATAGGGGTCACAATGCCCGGCCGAAAATTTGTATTCAACAGTAGGAATGATGAAGATGCTGATGATGAAGATGCTGGTGAGGGCCTTTATAGCTACTTTGCATTGCTATCTCTGTGTGGCCCAACAAGCAAAGCAGGCAGCTGTCACCCCAACAACTAGGACCTCCATGTGTGAAGTGGCACAGATCACATCGAGCTTACACACTGCCCATAAATGCTTTGGGTCTGGGTTGGACTGGGTGCTCCCTGGGAAAGATGCATGCCTCATTCTTCTGGGTCACTACATACAGTGCAATGCAGTGCTTGGTGAATAAAAGAACAAGTGAAAGAAGGATGAGGCAAACTTGGGGAAAGGGCAGGGCAGGGATGAATGGAGGGTGGGATGAGCAGAGAGGTGAATGACCACGCTCTGTGGCTGTCCTGACCCTCACCTTGCTGAGAGGCAGTGGGATTGCAGGTGGTTTTTCCTGGGTGAATAACCTTGGGGCTCTGCCCCTCCGTGTCCTGCCCACATCATAAAACAACAAACACCTCCTAATTAGGGGCAGGTCTGAGGAGTGGGGTGACTTTGGGGCTGAGCCTTGGGAGCGTTTATAAGCTGAGACTTCAGACTCCTCAGTACCAACCTTCTTCTTCAGCTCGCTGCTCTCTGCTGCCAGCTCTCTCCCGGCGCTATGGCTTTCAATGGCAAATTTGAGTTTGAGAGTGAGAAGAACTATGACGAGTTCATGAAGTGCCTGGGTGAGTTCCTTCGTGTTCCTTCCCTAGGGCTGGCTGCTTGAACCCAAAACTTTGGGGTGGAGTGGGATAGAATTCCATCCGTCCATCCATCCATCCGTCCGTCCGTCCGTCCGTCCATCCGTCTGTCCGCCCACCCATCCATCTGTCCGTCCGTCCACACTTTTGCAAAGCATTCTGTCTTGTCTCTAAGGATATTGAAGCTGTAAGACATTATTTGATTTTTTAAAAGGCTTAGAATCTCAGTATTTCTAGTCCCTTCTTATCTCCATTTTGAGCTTGAGGCTCAACCAAGTCGCATTAATATTCCAAGTCACATAGTTGTGATGGAGAAGCAGAGATTTGATCTTTAGTTATTCAAATGTTTTGTTATTATTACTAGAGACAGGATCTCATGTAGCCCAAGCTGGCCTCAAAATCACTTTGTAACCGAGGAAGACTTTGAAATTCTGAACCTTCTGCTTCTCTAAGTGCCGGGATTACAGGCACGTGCTTGCTTATTTTATGGAGTGCTGGGGATCAAACCTGGGGCTTCGTGCATGTGAGGCAATCATTGTGTCCACTGAGACACATTCCTAGCCCTACTCAAATGTATTGAACATCTGCTACATGCAAAGGTTGTCCCAATATTCTTGATGTGGCACCTCGGCATGATCTACCTAAGTCAGTGACAGAGGTCATTAACACGGAGGACCCTCTCTTGAGTGCTGCCAGGGAGAGATAACCAGGGAGGTAATATAGAAACCAGGTTTGGCAAGAAAATCCTCAAAGTCAGTCAACAAACTTTCTTCCCTTACTGTGCTATTTTGGGTAGAGTGACAAGTTATTTATTTATTTTTTTAAGATTTATTTACTCATTATGTATATAGTGTTCTGCAGGCCAGAAGAGGACACCAGGTCTTACTACACATGGTTGTGAGCCACCATGTGGTTGCTGGGAATTGAACTCAGGATCTCTGGAATAGCAGACAGTGCTCTTAACCGCTGAGCCATCTCTCCAGCTCGTAACCAGTTATTTTACCTTCCTCATATATATACTCCCTTTTTATCTGCTTGCCCTTTAGCAATGGTCTGCTGTGAGTTCCGTTCCAGAACTTTCTGGATTTTGCAAGCCTCTGCTATATTGGTATATTATTGTTGGAAGATTTGCTATTATTATTATTTTTAAACATTTAGGTTTGTTTTATGTATTTGAGTGTTTTGCTACATGTCTATGTACCACGTGTTGCAGATGGTTGTAAGCAGCCATGTGGGTGCTAAGAACTGATCCCAGGTCCTCTGCAAGAACAAGTGTTCTTAACTGCTGAGCCATCTCCTCAAGATTTGTTGTTATTGAAGAACACCAAGTAGTTGTGAGGGGCTGTGAGAGACACAACCACATTGGACTCAATTCACACAACAGCTCTAAGGGTCAGACCTTACTGTCACCATTTTGTAATGGAAAACAGTGGGGTAGTGACCTGCTCAAGCCACAGGTCTCATGGCAGAGTTGGGATTTGAACCGTCTGCTATCTATGTCTCAGACACTCTGTTGGTCCTGCAGACTTGCCTGCCTTTGGGGAGGAAAGCTGTCTCTCCAAATCAGGGTGATAAGTAGATCCTATGTGAACTCTTTGCTTGTGATGGGGCACAGGTGTTTCAGACGACGTGACTACAAAGGCACGGAACCTAAAGATCATCACAGAGATCCAGCAGAATGGACAGGACTTCACCTGGTCCCAGTCTTACTCTGGCACCAACATCATGACCAACAAGTTCACCATTGGCAAAGAAAGTGAAATTCAGACCATGGGAGGCAAGAAGTTCAAGGTGAGAGGCCCCTGGCTGCCCTTTCCTGTCTTCCCAGGCTAAAGACCAGTTTCTCCATTTCAGATAGGGCCTCTCTGCTCCTCAGGCTGAGGCTTGTCTATAGCTTAGCCTTTTCTGTGTGAAAAACTTTCTTGCTTGGTGTTTTTAATGCTTCTGCTGGGTAATGGCTGTCATTAGTAAGGAGCCCAACACAGAGACACAAAGAGCTGATGTGTTGGTGGGGTACACGACATTAATACAGCACTCAGGTGGCAGAGACAGGAGGTTCTCTGTGAGTTCCAGATCAGCGAAGGATACATAGAAAGATGCTGTCTCAGACAGACAACCTCAGAACTCAAACAAACGAAAACAGTCTATTTTCTGAGCATGGTGCGTGCTGCAAATTACAGCACTTAGGAGGCAGAAGCAGGCTATCTCTGTGAGTTCTGAGCCAGCCAAGGCTGCCTGTGCCTAGTGAGACCTCTTCTCAAAAAGAAAAAGCTAGCTGGGGACTAGTGGCACATGCCTTTAATCCTAGTACTTGGGAGGCAGAGGCAAGCAGATCTCTGTGAGTTCGAGGCCAGTCTGATCTACAGGAGTGAGTTTCAGGACAGCCAGAAAAACCCTGTCTCAATACTGGCCCCCTCCTAAAAAAAAAAAAAAAAGAGAAAGAAAAAGAAAAAGAAAAAAACCTAATATTTGCTGAGTATTTAACATAATTCACTTCAGATATTTACTGAATAGTTGTTCTATCTGTCTGTCTGTCTATCTATCTACCTACCTATCATATATCTATCTATCTATGTCTATCTATCTATCTATCTATCTATCTATCTATCTATCTACCTATCATCTATCTATCTATCTATCTA